TTTATTCTTTACATATTATGATTATTATGATTATACAATAAACTACTACTTGATTACGTGTTGCATCCAGTTAATTTCATCACATGACAACATGTCAACTATGAATGCATAGATCATATATATACATATATAAAGATGACCTTAGAAATAATGAGAGAATGAGAACAACTGAATTTTCGCATTATCACGAATATTGTTACTTTTGTTGTAAGATGTGAATCTTTTGGTTCTTTTTTTTGTGTAAAGATGTTAAGTAGTCATGTTTTACAGAATCAAACTGATCACCAATGTAGTTTGACCTTTTAGTAGCATACAATTGAAATAACCAATAATATAATCTAGCAATTATCGAAAAATAAGTGAGTGTGTGAAGGTACTCACTAAGGACAATAGAAGATGGTCGTACAATACCGTAGATTGATTAAAGTTAGGGTTGAACATCACTGGATTCTGGCTCTGTGATCTAGAATTGAAGCGTTTATGTGGGTTCGATTGCCGATTAGGAGGTCCTGAAACAGCCTCGTTAGGGAATCCCAGACGTTCCAGTGCTTTTAAGTTCTCAATGATAGTTCAGTGATCTAAAAATTAAATTCTTATCGTGTAGCTTGAGTGTCTTGGGTTCAGCTCCCCGGTTGGATCATGATCAGACAATGAAGGGAACTCTCAAATTAGGATAAAATGTTCATCATTTGTAGGAAAAAACTTAAATATGTCAAATCATTTTCAATAGTCTTCCAAAATGGTTGAACTCTAATGATCACGTTTTCTCACCAGGAATTGTTTGTTGAAATTGATGACTCGTGAACACATAATATTTACGAGCGGGGGGGGGGTTGTATAGAGATCATTTAACCAGAAAAATTTTTTATCCTTAATTTAAAATTGAAATTTTACTTTATTTTAAAATAAATCAAACTTCTGAATTTAAGACAATTTTCGTTAGGGAAAAAATATGCACAAAATATCAGTTTCCAAAATTTGTGTTCATTTTTGAGTAGTCGTCTAACAAAAATTGAAATCTTTCATTTTCTTTTTTAAAAAAAAAACGAAAACGGGAAACAGAAACACGGATAGCGGAAATCATAATGAACAGTAACTAACATATCTATGCTACACTTACTCAATGTATAGACATGTAAAGTCGTATAGGTAACATCAAAGTTAAAGATAGATCATAAAAGGAATAAACATACATTATAAACAATACTGTTTATTCATACACAGTATACTAAAATTCAATAGAAAGAAAGAAAGAGGGAAAAAATAAGTTAAATTAAAATGAAACATTTAATTTTGTTGTTGTTGATGTTGTTGCTAAGGTATGATTGTTTCTCTTTGATTCTGTGTGAATTACTACAGTGTCTAATTTAAATGTTTCCTATTCATTCAAATAGTAAATAATAATAATAATAATTATATCACTTGAAGTATACGCTTGAAATGAATAAAGTAGGAGGAGGAGGTGATTCCAATGATGTTGAGGTGGGAGAAGAACTACTAACTATTGTCATCATCATCATCATCATGTTGAGAGATTAACTCTCGAATAAAATGTAAAATGACAATAATAAAGTTGTAAGTGATAGCTTACTGTGAACATACGCAAATGTTAGGTATTCATGCATACAGATATTTCTCTGTCTCTCTGTCTCTCAGTTGATTCACTGTGTTCCTTTTTGATGATACAATTATAAAAATGTTACTAACAACAAATAAAAAGATGAACAATTGATTTTTTCCCAAATAATCATAAGACTTTACTCAATGTTTTGCATATTTAGTTTTGTATAGTTGTCAAGACTATGATACTAATCAGTGAATAATTTTTATTCGCAAAAGACCTAGTAACTTTATCGGATTAAAATCAATATATGTGTACATATATTTCCTCAAATAAGGGTTTTAAATAAGAAAAAAAGATTAAACTAGCATGTAATGAAGAATTCGATTGTGCGTGTGTGTGTGCATATATATACATACACATGTATTCAGACGACTAACTATGTAGGTATGTATGTGTGTTGATGCGTATTAAGAGGAGGGCGGAGCGAGTAATTTCCCTTTAGGTGGACTATCGATAAAATAGGGATTTAAAAGTGAACCGAGATCAGTTATTGTCCTGCCATTGACATTATCATTATCAAACAGAGCGGATCAAAACAAAAAGCCAGATGGTATTGGGAGAGAGGGAGAGAAACTATATTTAATTTTTTTTTTCATTTTCTAAAAGCAATTTAAACCGAATAGTAGAATCTGATTTGGTTTTAACAGTTTCACCCGTATACTGAATAAGTTACAGTGGTCCATAGTAATCATGGCTTTATTCAATTATTGTTACCAAAATAAAGTAAGAAATTTTCAACGTACATTCTGCCAAACAAACTAAAGACAAATGGGTGAGGTCGCGCAAAACATCTGAATCAATCATAGTTAGATGTTAACGCCGTTGGATGCAGGCCCAACGGTCCAGAGGTTAGGCGTGCGAGCGCAAGATCGAAGGTCCAGGGTTCGAATCCTGCGAGGTTCAGGAGTTGTGAATACGCACTGCTAATGAGTCAGTCACATACCAGGACGAAACGGCCATCCAGTGCTTTCGGATTCCTAATGATGGTCTAACAATCATTGATTGATGATTTCAGATGTGTAAAAACAATAATCTTCATGACTCTAATTGAAAAATTGCTTTGCAACCATATAACAACACATTTAAATTGTGATTACTCGAAAGAAGGAAAATTAGATTTTATAAAAAATATTTTCCTGCAATCCATATCTCGTTTGCTTATACTTTCAATTATGAACGTTTTCTCTATCAGTTAAAGCAAAAAAATATTCAAACAATTGAACACTGAGTGAATAGTTTCAAGGTTTAGACATGATGACTGGAGTGTGGATCTCTGAGAGTCTCATACTGTTTACTTTCTTTAGGTTTACAGTCATTGTCTAATTGACATTTTAGTTTGTATGTTATAAAATCTTGATGATTAAATCATCTCAATAAATTGCTTTAGTTAAGTTGTAGAAGCTTGTAAATTACTTTCCCTAGTCCACATGTACTCAGTATACATGATAATAAGTGATCAATTGTATGAAATGAACTAATATCTTAAAATAAGTATTGATCAGAAGATTTGTTTAAACCTACGGCTAGATTGTTAAATAAATAAATAAATGTTAATATTACGAATGAAGCACAAAATTATAGTTGATTTCAAATTTCGAAAAAATTTGGTAATATTCACTATGTATTGAGGTCATCTCTGGGTATACTGCTAAGAGACAAGAGGCATTTCGACTTACAGTTATTTCATTTTAGTTTGGAACGCTTTATTTTATTTCATAGTCACAGCTTCCACGAGGAACTCTAAGATCTCCTCTGGGTTAACATTCTAAATGTTTGTCCAGATGACTGTACTGGTATGATGAAAATACAATCGAGACAGTGTAAAACATTTTGTATCGATTAGTTTATCATTGTAAATAAAGAATTAAAATTATAACAAACGAGTCGTTTAGAGTTTGTTTGTTTTTTTGTTGTTGTTTTTATCTTTTATTCCATAAAATTTTAAATGTGAACATATTTATGTGTGGTGGTTAGAATATGTTGGAAATGGTTGACGAAAACAACCTTGTTCAATGTTTCAATTATTTATATTATTCACTCATCTCTATCACAGAGCCCATGTAAGTGTTTTCATTGGATTTTTATTTAATTTAATCTAAACTGAGCTAACAAAGAAAAAAGATAATTTTAATCAATGTACTAATTGAAATTTTAGACAAATTGATGAAGTAACAATGTTAAAATCTTTATGATTTCATCTGATAGATCATTTGATAACAAAAACAATGCAATGAATTAATATCACTGAATATCATTCTGTTAACATCTTACTATTATAACTAAGGAATACTGATAGATTTCTGACGACTTTTTTCTCGTTGACTGTAAAATGATTTACATATTACACATTCATCACTTCGGCAAATGAGAATTGAACTGAAGACTTTCAATCGCTAAAGCACACGTTTAATGTCTCAACCGATGAGCTGGCATATTACGGTGCTCACAATTTCAATTTCTATAAAATTTAACATTGTCAAATAAAAGAACAAAAAAAAATAGTTTTTTGTGTAATCATAAAATACAAATTAATTTGAAAATCAATTGCAATTTAAATCAACACAATTAATTTTTAACTATAATATTGTTAAAGGGGGAAATATAATTTCAATCATATTGAAATTTGAATGATTGACAAAAATGAATTATTTATTACCAGTGATATTGAATAAAGACTTTTATTTTTTTGGGGGGGGGCGGTTTTGTTTTTACTTCTAAGCAAAAAAAAAAGAAAAAAACTTGATGATATTATGTTTGTTGTTATTGAAGTGATCAGATGATCATTTTTATTGGTTAATAATCATTAATTTGTTATATTGATTGTCACTTTACTCTAACAACAAATTATTTACAAATATATATATATAAAGCTATTTGTTTATAATTTAGTTTAAGGGAATTAAGAGATTGGAAACATGACAACCTACTCAACCATTTAATGTGTGTAAACAGTAGCTCTCAACTGATATGATTTCACGTTTACCAATAATTTCAAGTTGTTATTTAGTTGTTGAAGTCAGCTAAACAAATGTATTATAGATTTATTCAATTGAGTATTGCATTCATTTGATTTTGTATTCAGTCACTTTTTTTCATTTCCTTCTTTTTTGTATGCAAATTACTACTACTACTACTACTGTGATGCGCGCTACTTATAAGTAGTATATGACGCGAGTGTAAACGTAATGTCTGGCAGCAGAAGATCAAGAAACGAAGAGTGGGAACACAATGGAATTTGTATGAAACGCATGAATAGTGAAATGTCAGACAATGAATTCATGATGGATTGAAGATTTGTAAATTAACGATTTACGATATGGTTTTCCTATTTTACCGATTAACTCTGTAATTTTCGATAAATACAATTCGGTTGTCCTCACCTGTGTTCTCCTTCACTACATTTTGTGATAAAATTTGTTCGTTTCATATCGTCTGTTTTAGATAAATCCAATGATTTTCGTTGTGTAGTATTTTTCATTGATTTAATTGCCATTTCAGCTGATCCTTTGGCTTGTGGTCCAATTACTCGCATAAATGGAGTTGATGTATAATCGATATTCGTAGGAGATGAAGATGAATGTGCAGTATTTGTTGTTGTAGTTGATGTCGTTCGGTTATGTCGATAACCAGAATGATGATTAACAACATTACCAAATGAACGAGAAGCTTGAGATGAATAATCATAAAATTGTTTTATAGCATTATAGGAAATAGTGCCAATAAAACAAACACCATGTACACGTCCAGAACGATCATAAGCGGTCAATTCAACACTAATACTTTCACTATCTCGAAGAACATATTCAGCAAATGCCTCTTCATAATTATCAAATGTAAAATAAAGATCTGGATAAACTATTTCTTCATTACTGCCTTTCACATTCATTTGTCTATAGCTAGGCGATGCTTAAACTGTTTGAGAAAATTTCTTTAAAATTTGCCAATCTTGAGGTCAAGTACGAGTATATACAGCAACTGTTACAACATAAAAAAATATTGCATGAGTAAGTTAAGATACACTCTTTCCTCCCAATCAATGTAATCATCAGTCGATTTTGCAAGGTTTCAATCATTTCTACGAAATACACTCAATTCTGGTTTTTTATGATTTTGTTTAATATCCTGGTGCATCAACTGAACTCTCCAAAAATCCTTGTTAGAGTTGATGATACTAACATCGAAACCCTTTCTTAAAATTTTTTGCAGTACGAAGCTCTAGCTCCTGAATGATTAACTCCATAATAGAATCCAAAGTAATATTACGACCTGGAGCGTTATCCGTACATCTGGTATTCACAAGGGAATTAGCACTTGGATTTGCCGGGTCACACATGACCATAAGTTAAAGGATCCACTAGTTATGCCCTTTAAATTACTGTAGTGAATAGGCTTTTGCAATAGGGTTTTACATTTTCGAGGCAAAGTAACGCAACAAAATGTAGTGAAGGAGAACACAGGAGATGACAACCGAATTGTATTTAACGAAAATTACAGAGTTACTCAGTAAAATAGGAAAACCATATCGTAAACACCGTTAATTTACAAATCTTCAATCCATCATCAATTCATTGTCTGACATTTCACTGTTCATGCGTTTCATACAAATTCCATTGTGTTCCCACCCTTCTTACTTTCTTGATCTTCCCCCATCTTCTGCTACCAGACATTACGTTTTTATTCGCGTCATATACTACTTATGAGTAGCGCGCACCACACTTCTACTACTACTACTCCTGCTCCTACTACTACTACTCACACTACTACTAATACTACTACTACTACTCACATTACTACTACTACTACTACGACTACTCACATTACTATTATTACCACTAGCTAGAATTTTCTCAATTGTCCTTAAATAGTTTAATCCTTTCCGATTAATCAATTTATTATACTTTTGTTTTTCATTAAATTAGGTTCGTAAAAAGGAAATATTACAACGTAATACAATCACAATATTTTTTTTTGTAAATTCTGTACAAAAATCAATAAATTCTGTTTTTTGACTCATTCATTCATTGATTTCAGATGAGCAATTACATTAGTTGAAATAAATCTAATCAAACATGAATATGAACAGGTAGGACTAGTGAAAATTGAACAAAAATCATGTTTCCTGTTGAACATGTTGTAAGACAGTCATCGTTACATTGTTTTGTTTTTTTAAATAAGGAAAATTAATGTGAAATGGAGAAATTTTGTAATTGAACAAATAGACAATTCTCTAGAGAATTTAGATTTTTGTTTAGATTTTACTCTGTTTCACATCGAATATTGAACGTTGTGTTTTACTTGTTGTGATACTACTTTTTTTCTCTGATTACATTCTATACAGCATTAAAAAATTGCCATTTTATAGACTGATTTGGTTTAGAAAATCAGTGAAAACTAGAAAACACAGGATATCTTTTATTTTGCCCTAGTGAGGGAGATTCTTCCTAATGGGAATCTACAACTACATAAGCGATCAAATAAGAAGATTTTCAGGTTTTATTAAGCCAGTATCCGGTGGTTTACATGTCTAACTTCAATGAGTTTGTGGCATTGCACAATGGTCCTCTGATATCATTGTTTGGTAACTGTCCTCCGTGTCATTCAGTTGTTAATCTGTAATGTAAACTATAGGATTCAGCAATCGACACCAGCTCCTGTAATGATAATAATAATAATTATTATTATTTATTATTTATTATTATTCTCAGTAAACAATGATTCAAAAATAATGTCATTAAAGAACATTAATACTGTGTGTATAGATTTGTATGTTAAGCTTTTTGATAATTTCCTTTAATTTGTAAAACAATTATTTAGATTGAAAGATCACAATCAAACTGTTGAATCAGTATGTAAACTTCTTGTTTTTCAGTATTTTCTTACACACCAGATAATGATGTTTGAAAATATGAGCATTATCATCTTATTGTATTTTTGAATCAACTAAAGAGTAAGTAGACAACTGTATATTCCTTGAATAATGACCGATCTCATGCTGATCATGTTCATTTGATACCGATCAATTTCTGTTGATCAAGTTGTAATGTGTTGTTACTTGGTTTGAGTAACATTTGATATTGAGTGCATTATGTAGAGAAGGTAAGGAGTTTAAATGTAATCAACTGGAAGTACACTATTCAATCTAGATTTCATGGTAGTTAGGATTATTCAACAAAGCGTACGTCCAATCTTGAAAAAGAAAAAACTCTCCTACAAGAGATTAAGAACACTCTGAAAAGTAAAATGTCTCAAACTGTGAATTTGTGTTACACAAGTAGCGCATCAGTTGCTTTAAGAATAACTTATCAAATAGTTGAAGAATTAATTATGTGGTTGATCATTTTCAACTATATAAGAGAGAGAATAACTGTTTCATTATAAATGGTGAATATTAAAAAAATTAATTTTTAGAAAGAAGAAATGACACCAACAAAACATAACTGACATTTAAAATACTGAACACATGTTAATCTCTTTTCAACTTGAGTATTAAGCAAACACCATATCACATAAATTTTCGGTAAAGTTCTTTTAAAAATGTAAAATAACAATGAATTTCTGCCTGTTGTGTTAGTTATATTGTGAAGATGATTACTGTTATGAAGTGAAATCAACTGACAAACTATTGAAAATCAAGAAACTTTAAGAAATTGTTTCATCTTTGTTTTTGGAATATGCATTACGGGGTTGTTGTGAAGATTGGTAAGTCACACATTTGAAATCATCAGTCAATCATTGTTAGATCACCATTAGAAACCTGGAAGCACTGGACGGTCGTTTCGTCCTGGTATGGGACTCATTAGCATTGTGCAACCACGATTCCTGCACCTCGCAGGATTCGAACTCGGGACCTTCGGTATTATGCGCGAACACCTAACCATTGGACCATTGAGCAGGTGGAATAGTCAAACACTATGTCCTATTTATTACTTAAGCAAACATTGAACCTAGAACCTGCATATCTGACAAAAAAAGACTTCAGACATGAGAACCATATTCATCGATCAATTTGCATTGTGATACAACTGTCATCTGATTACATTAGTAAAGAATAATTTATCGTGAAATAATTCGCAACTTTACTCCATTATAGCTTTTCTATTGAAAATGAGGTGAGTATAGAAGCGAAAAACGATTTTATAGTATCATTTCACATTGATAATTTCATCCAGTGTACAACATTTCATGACTTTCAATCTGCATAGAGAATTTACAATTTTTTTCTTAATTTATTCTTCTCGTTTTCTTATTTATCTTATTTTTGTTTTTGTCATGATCAAATGAAAATGGTGTCCTTAACATTTAAAATGAATTTTTTTTTAACATTTAACGAATTATACTCGTCAATGTTGCTGTGACACAGATGACGATAATTAATGTGCACAAAATGTTAAACATTATTTTTACAATGTACTTTATAAATTAGATTAATTCATATCAATATCATTGTCTCTCTCTCTCTCTCTCATCAATGGCCTGATGAAAACATAACCAGTCAAATATAGAGAACTTAAATACACTAATTTTCATAGAAATCTCTCAGATTAGAAAATATATATATCTACACAGTAAAGGTGAATTTGCAAAATAACAAACTAAAAGAATGCTTCATTTTCATGTGCTACGTGTCTTGGTCACATTTTGACGGATTATGTAATCACAATAAGAATAAGAATAATAAGAATAATAATTGTCATCATGAAAATCAATAATTCCATTTAATTTGATCACAGTTTTTTCATTTGATTTTCAAAGTTTACATTGTATCTCTCTCTCTCTCTCTGTCTTGTACTCGCCAATTGTCATCAGTCTACATGTATTCATTCGATGAGTACGTGCATGTACAATAAAGCAAAAAAATACTGAGTTCATTTTGTGATTCGGAACACTCACCTACACTGACAAGGTACATATTGTTCACACACACACACGTCCACATTAGAAAGTTAGAAAATGAAAAAAAAATTAATTTTTTTTGTACTTATTTTATTCATACATAATTAAGATTTAAATTTTTTTTTAAAAACAAAAATACATCGATATTCTATAATCTCATGTAATAATCAATCTCATACCAGCCGTTTCAATATTTGATAGAATTTAATACTTTAACTCTGTCGAATTTCACTGTGACCTGAATTTATTTTTTAGTGTTGTAATGTATTTATTCGTTGAGGTCATATAATAATATTATTTTTTGTTTTAGATAATGATAACTTAATTAAGACAATTGATTTCAAAGAACACTATACGGCTAAGTAACATCCAACCTAAATGAATTACAAATATGAATTTGACTTATCTTGTTGTTTGTTGATCATCATACTACCCCCCACTGTGTGTGTGTTGATATCAGCTACAAAGTGAATTCTTCACTTCACTCATAACAACACCATAATACCATCTAGTTTTGGCAAGAACAATTTTCTATGCCATTTTATTTGTGTGTAACAAAATGAAAAGCACTTTTTCCGGCAACAACAGTAAAAACAAAAAACTCAAGACTAATTTACTTGAAATTATCTTCAAGATTAACGATTAAGTTAATAATAGTAATAATAATTATCGAGTATCACTGAAACACTATTTATTAGTCATTAACTGAACCTATTCAACAATAGACTACAATTTGATCCTATAACTTGTCAATGTCAAGTTAAGTATAAATACTTTTAGGTGAACTTTTCATACATTCTATCAATTCATATTTACGGCATCCAAAAACTTTCAGTATTGTTCAATCATCATCCAAAATTATATTGGTCCATGATTGTCTCCATGTGTATATATATAGAAAAAAAATCATTACATATCCCTGCAATTAAACAAATCTTTCGAGTTAATTGTTCCTCTAAAAGGGAAATTTGGAAATTTAAATAAAGTTCATTA